TGGGGTTCGGAATTGCTATTGCATCCTTTCGCAAGGTTTAGCAGTTGGGTCGGAAAATATGATACAAGCTCGGAGAAAATAGCATCTATTACACAATTTATGTCTGGAGTTGGAATACCCCAGAAAGCCCGAGATGTCCAGCTGATGGAGAACCAACCCCTAAAAGGGGAGTACGAGGACTAAAGATCTCATTAAGTTAAGTCGATTACTCAGATCCGCTTTTTGGTCAGTTTGCGGTTATGCGAGGAGGAAGAATATTCAGTAGATTAAATGGTCGGAAATGACCTCCAATATTAATATTGATATCCAGAGAACCCATTCTTTCACTTTTGATGACCCGAGGTACGAGCCTTAGAGACCTGACAAACTCCTGGTTTGAATATATGCAGGGTTTTGGACCCCATTTCTGAAAGCGACAAAAAGAGCTCCTATCCTTTTCTTTTGGTGGAATGGGATCTGAAGTTTACCCAGGGTCGGGACCAAGCCTGATAGGACAAGGAAGTTCACAGTCCTGAAACCAGATAAGACAGAAAGATAGAGGCTCGTACCTCGGGTCTTAGCGATCGGGTCTTACCTGGATTCGGGTTGAGGAGTACAAATACCTGCCTGCTCTTTGGATCGGGTATTCGTGGATCTTACCTCAAGGGTTGGGGTATATGAAGCTAGAGCGGATACAGAGTCTGAGGTCTTCGATCAGGTTGTTCAATATGGAGATGGAGATTGGAACGTTATTGCACATTTCCTAGGGTCGTTCCTGGGGTCGGAAGATAGCAAGGGAGTAAGGATTAGCAAGTCCGGTCGGTAAGGATGGGAAAGCCTGGGTTAGGTTCAGGAGTAGACACCCGGAGACAAGGCGTGGAGATTAGCAGTTGGGTTGGGAAATCTGGTAAAGCGGACTAATTCCTTTTCCCTCAGCCCCCGAACATGCCCCGGACGATGGTCAAGCGGCATCGCCCTTTTATCCCCGGCGACGGTAGGACTACTGCTGCGAAGCTACTGATACGAAGGAAATTCCCACTCGAAGGGTACGAAGTAGCTCGACTTCAAGGTACAAACGAAGCGATCAAGGAGGGCTAAGACCTTAGACCGACTACTCGAGTGAGACCGAACCGAAGTGAGGGAATTAGCTGCACGAAAAGAAACGGACTGCACTGGGTGGGCGAAGCTTTCCTTTGCACAGTAGGAGTTACGAAGGTGGGGAGTATTTCTTCGGACCTTGTTTTCAGAAGTCTTTGTCCTAAACTCCCTTAGCTCTTGATTGTACGAGCCTATTCGAAGGACTGATTTCGATGAAGAAGCGGTCAAGTCAAAGGCGATAGGGATTTGCTAAAAGATCTCATTCAAGGAATTAGCAAGCAGAGTTGAATACTACGCTTATGAGTTCCCAGTTCTTCTGATTAATGGATTTGCTGCTAATGCATTTCTTCAACGAGGTAGGGCAAGGACAGCATCAACCTATCGTAGGTCATGAAAAGTATATTATGTAAAGGACGAGTTGATGTAAGTGCCGAAGGAGTGAAAGGAGCAGGGCCATAGTCCCGATAGCATTATTAGATAGAAAAGGCTTAGCAGTTCTTGATTTAATGACTGCTGCTTACGAGGGAGGTAGAGAAGAATCAAACCCGGGAACTAAGAACTCGACCGGTAATGAACCTGTCTTGACTTCGACACTCTTTTCCATAAGCATAAGAAAGCGAGTCACAAGACTTTTCACAGAAGGAATTACGTACGCCTTTCCCTCTACAGTGAATCCACTCGGAAATCAACTAGCTGACCGGGGAACTTGTACCCACTGCAGCTCTTCTCCCTCTATAAATAGAATAGAACCCTATCCAATAAGTAGAGGGCCCTCCTTCGTCGCGGTCGATTAATGAAGAAGTAGATCGGGACTGAGTTGTAGGGAAGAGGAAAGCTTAGCGTCATAGGTTCTGAAATTACGTAAAAAGAGAACATAAAATGTGTATGGGTATGTTCAGACCAAGGAAATAGTCAGTCTCACCACATAATTTTCATCTGTAGCACAAAAGGAGGGAAGGAGCTCTTTATGATAGGCTATCGAGGAAAGATGGAAGGAATGAAGGGAATCGATACAAATATTTGATCAGCATAGTGAGTTGATATTCGGTGATCTTTCACTCCAGGATTGACGCCCAGGAATTCCTGATAGCTCACTCCAGGAACTATGAGTCCCGCCTATTAGTTGCTCCTATGAGTTGGTTGACTGGATAGCACTGGTGACTGGCTTACTCTTGATCTTGATCTCTGGTTTCTCTAACTACTGATCTCTCGTGATCTCCGGGTCGTTCTCTTGATCTCCTCGTCTACTGGAACTCATAACTCGGAAATCCAAGACCTATGGGATCCTCTTTCCTTGTCATAGACATTTGTAAAAGCAAGGGATCTAACTCCTCGCTAGTGGCCGGTGCTTTGACCAATCCCTGATAGCTACAAGAACTAAGAATGGCCAGTACCAGTTTGAATTCCCTGTTTGAGAGGCCGTTTCGAAGACCACTTACTCCTTTGCAATACGCTTGTTTGAAGCTACGCTTTAACCAAGCAACGAACTTATTGGCTTATAAACCCGAACTTCGAAGTATAAAAACGAGAGCCTGTAATGGTTCCTCCTGGGTAAAAGGCGCATCCCTCGATCGGGGCATAGCCAAGACGATTTTCAGCCCGGGAGTTCGTAGGTTCGGATCCTGCTGCTCCAGGACCAGATGGCCGAAACTATATAGGAATTCTCCCGCCCTCAGCTGAAGCCACTTTTACTGAACTTGGTAAACTTGCTCGAGAGGTGTAGTAAGAAAGAGCTCGTACTTTCTGCTGCTCCATTTAGAAGGGACTGCTGTCGGGCAGCTAAACTTGGACTTCTGCAGCCGAGTGTTTCATCCCTTTTTTCTACTTTTAGGTGAATCTGTCTGAATGAAAACCCAGATGTTCCTTGGCCACAGACCGCAGGAAAGTCCAACGGCCCTAGCTTCGCCCGGGGAAAGGATCAGTCAACTGACTCGGAATTCCCTTGCCTTTTGCCTTTATCGCTAGATCCTAGGCAATAGTTCTGGCATCGGAAAGTGGTACCGACTTCAATGGGTTGCGTGGAATCCTGTTCCCATGTCCGGTCGTAGCACACCTGGAAGCTGGATGTCAAAATCCCATGCTCATAACCAAGATCGGAAACTTATTCAGTGTCAATAATACGTAGAAATGCATTCCTTTCAGCCGCTACTCCCCTGTTCCCTCGCCTCCGGACGAGCCCTTTTATCGATGGGTCATAGCTATAGTCAAAAAAATAGGTTTGCAAAGTGGCCCTGGACTGGAAGTGGGCTGCTCGGCGCTTGACCTATAAAATTGATTCAACTCTTTTTCGACCGTGCTTGCAAAGAAATATGGATAATAGGTCCGTGTGCTCAGATCTCACTAATAAGATGAATGGAAAATGGGACCAATTGTATTGCCTCGGGCGGATCTTTCGTGAGTTCATGCCGCAAAACCAGATCCTTTAACAGTAAACTTATTCTGAAAGGGCCCCCGTTTAGGAAGGGAATCTGTAAGTAACTTCGCCCCCCGAGACCGCTAAAAAGACGTCGAAATGTCTCTGTCCACCTCAAGGCCGATCTTTCGTCAGTTAAGGACCGATTCTGACAACTACCCAGATCACGTAACAGTAAACGGGTCCAAAACCGGACCTTTATGAAGGGGATTGAATTCGGCCACAAACTCGCGTACGAGTACATGACGGTCCAAGTAATCAGTAAACGCACGAGTTCGAGTTGTTGTTCCGAGCGGTTGGAGAGTTAGGTCTTTGGTGAGGTACGGGAGGGATCGCTTGCCTTGTTTTCGGTTTCCTGCCAGGAGTGATTCACGCTTTGGAGTGACTTTGCTCTTTCGTTTGACCAGTCAGGACGCATTCTTTTAGTCTTCTAGAGCATCTAGAGGGGAATTCATCCATGGTCTGTCTGCCTTCCTCTACTTAGACTTTAGAAAAGGACTTCTCTCATGCGTATCTATCTCTGGCAAAAAGCCAATCTTCGTTGAAGAACGCCACCCTACCTGTTTTCTTCTAGATCAAATGGAGAATTCATCAGTAACTCCGCCATCAGGAGAATAGCTTTGGCCAGACCGGAAGAAAAGTACCACTCACTCGGTCCGATCCTAACCCCCTGCCATGCAGCTTTCCCGGTTACTAAGTAGAGTCAAACCCACCTTTTTTGACTATGAAAGTCGATTTGTCCACTCGAGATAAGGCCTTTAGCAGCTATTCCTTTACTCCTTTAGCTTGTACTTGTCTTTGGCCATGTCTCGTACCATTGGCTTAACCCGTTACATTACTCTATTCCGCTTTAGGCGCTCATATTGGCATATCGATTAGCCTTCCCTAGCTACTGGTGACTACAGGTGGTGATCATATTCGCATATTGAGGGAACAAGCTGATAACTACACATATGAGATTGAAGAGATTGACTTTGCCAATCTTCCTAGATCTCTACTAAGCCAAGGCAATTAACGAAACTAACTACAGAGCTCTAGTACGTTTGGGTCTCATACCGATGAGTCCCTACACTGCTGTAAGTAAAGGAGAGTTAACAGATAATAGATTCATAACAGTTAGTTAGATACAAAATCTAAGACAGGAGCTACGTTTGGTTGACCATCAAGACAGTAACTCTAACAACTGAACTCATGGCCAGCCTTTGCCATCTAACTGCAAGAGTCAAATCACTATAAGGACGTAAAGGGCATCTCATAGGAGATTCATTCCCTTCACTGACTTCGGGTCATTATAGTCGAGAGACTCAAGACAAGGGATTTAGGCTTTAGCTACTGTTACTGGCTTTTAAGCTACGTTTTCAGACCACGTAAGCCTATCTATCAAGAGGAGCAAATAAGAAGAAGATACTCTCTTTCGTTCGGGAACCTCACCCGAGATTCCCTCTCTGCCCGGTGGTAGCTTTAGAGCGCAGGTATTCATGAAAAAGAACAACAGGAACAAGGAGCGAAGCAGTTCGACTGAAAGGAGAGGAGCGAGGTTGCCCATTGATGACGAGGAAGGAAAGACTAAAGATCGAGTGGATCTACCAGTTGGACGAGTCAGGAAAGAAGCTACACCGAGTGAGGAGAAAGCAACTCTTTCGACTTAACTGCTGTTTGAGTTTGAAACTGCACCGACTGGCCGATTAAGGCCGATTGATCTCCTATTGATTTAGGAATCAGTAAAGAAATACAAAAGCAATTAAATAACAACAGTTTGGAACTCACACCTCGGAAGGTTTCCGAGCTTCCTTAGGAGAACAAACTAAACAACAAGGGATTCAAGAGCTGCAGGTGACCGTCCTCTTCATCAATAGCAGCAGCAACAAGAGCAAGAACTAAAGAACAAGCAAGAAAATCTTAGTTTGAGCTCCCTGAAAGGTCGTGAACATCCGAGAAATGACTTTCTTTTAGCCGGTTGATGCCGATTGATAGAATTATTCCCTAGCCTTAGCTCTTGAGCTTGAAGCGACTCGGGCTTTCCTCTATTTATCTTCCCCTTTGAAAGAAATCAGTTTATAGCTACACTTCAGAAAACCGAAGGCAAGAGCAACTCGAACTCCTAGGCTGCAGTAGCTTCAGTTTCCCGTCTAAAAAGGCAATACCTTGAAAAGAGGGAACTACTTTGAACCTCCCCAGAATGGTATCTATCGCAAACCTCCCTGAAATGCCGCTAAAGGTAAAGGCCGTGGACTCATAGCTCGGTTTCTCTTCTGCTTTAGCTCAGTTTGGTTTGGAACTCCCGATTGCACCTATTGCTCTCTTGTTGCTCTCCTGTTGCTGCCTATTGCTTAGCTGCAGGATCACCGGTTGCTTTAGATAATATGACTTAGCTGCTGTTTGACGATTGATCTACGATTGGTTAGCAAGGTTCACTCAATACCTTAGCAAGTTTGAACGGCATCTCCGAGTTGGCCGATAGATTAGGGATTTCTTTCTCTACTCTAGCTACACCCCGACGAGTGGTGAAACTCCCGATTGATGCCGAGTGAGAAACTACACCGAGTGAGGAGCTCATTGCTTCCCTTAGCTAGGAGCTAGCCTTAGAGAAGACCGAGGCCTCTTAACAAGATTATCGCATTGGAGCTGTGTTGATCTTCACATACTCAATTCATCCGAAGATTTGGTATGGGATGGTTGGTAGGCTTCACCGAAGCTTACTGACCGAAACGAGGACTGCGCGAAGCTTTTCTTTACACTACTAAGTTTGGGATACCGCAGCTACACCGAAGCTGACTGATCGAACCGAAGAGAAGGAAGCTACCGAAGCGAAGCGAAGTGAAGGAAAGGAATGGAGGGATGCATTTCTCCTTAGTTTTCATGGATTCGGGGTGAAAAGGTAGAACTTATCTAAGGTTGGGGGATAAGCGCCGAAGGGGAATGCCTATGAGCTCAGAGATGGGGATAGCATATAGTTTTGAGGAATACCTATGATCCTGCGTAAGTTAAACGGTTGGAACATGTCCCATAGTTTAGGAACTGGCATCTGGCAGTAGTATATAGATTTGGGGAATTACTACGAGTTTGGAAATAGAAGCCCTTGGGGATTTGGCATTAGTTAGTAGTTAGGAACTTGCTAATTTTTTTTGGATAATGGACTTCGGAGAATGTCCCATAGTTGGGGAGTTTCTAAAAGTTTGGAATCGAATCATAAGGTGGGCGGCTAGGCATTAGTTCTGGAAATACTATAGAGTTTGGGGACTTGCTAATTGTTTAGGCCTTGGGGAAATATCCATCAGTTCGATATAGTATAGAATCTCTCCTCGGCAGCAGGACCTGAACCCGTGAAGTCCAGTAACAAAAACCGAGGTAAAACCCCCTTTGGAGAATAACTAAACTAAAGGTTTGGGAATATATAATGGTCAGCAGGGGAATGCTCCATCAGTTATGGAGTTTCCAATAGCTTGGAATCTATAGTTTCTGGACTAATTGTTTTTTTAGTTTGGGGTTTGAAATCAGGATCTATTTTATTCAAATACGAATCGATAAATAATCTTTTTTGTAACTCCGTCGGTCTGATCAAATGAGTATCTAACGCATCTGGCTCAGGAACTCGGATCAACTGAACGTATTGGTGTTCGACTTGCCCCTGCACTTGCAACAACGAAGACTAACTCCCATTAGGGATTCTAGTTTAAATGGTTGAAACGAAACCTCATTCACGTACTGGTGATTCGAGAGTAGGCTTAAACCTGCATAGTCTAAATATGTCTACATTTGTGCTTCTCTTGTCGACTGGCTGGCCCCAGCACTTGCTTAACTCATAAAACGAATGTACCGACCCCCGTTCCTACTAAGCCTCAGGAACTCACTTGCCCGGAGAACTCGAACAACGAAGATACTGGCCCCAGCTCCTGCCCGGAGAACGAGATCAACTACTGCTTATAGTTCCACGCTTACCGGTGTACTGGCCCCTGCCTTGCCCAGTCGTTGCCCTTGATCTCGATCCCATGAGTTCTGGTCCAACTGTCAGGAATGTCCAGTCTTTCAGTCCAAGCTTTCAACAATCAGTGGAGCCTGCGCCGAGAAGTGAGAGCCATGTCCCGAGTTTCCGAGTTAACCCCGAGCTACGGATTCAGCAGTTGTTAATGAGCCTCGAGCTCCCGCCTATGACCAATGACAGGGAAAGTAGATTCCAACATGTTTCCTGAGCAGGAGCAGGCGTGAGGGCGGAGATTCGAGTTAACAGAGCCAAACCGAAAGAACGGCATAGTAGTAGGAAAGAGTTTCCCTTGAGGAGATCGGTGAAAGAACATCCCTCGAGGCAAGTATTTCATTGAGAGCGGGAAGGGGAAAAGTACCAGATATGGATGGAGCATAGCTAAGCCGATGAGATCCTCGGCCCTACTTATTTATTATATATATGTTCCCGGTCGGTCGAAAGGATCGAATCTTTTGCCCTCGGGCTGTTAAAGGCGTCGGAAAGAGGGTACGCGTGTTACGCATCCGAAGCAATTCACACTCCATTTAGGAGCTCATTTGTACTATTTGATGAAGATTTATACCACTTCGAGTGACCAAATATATATAGTAGTTCATAAGCCGTAGCGGCATTAGCTGCTGGATTGGTAGAACCCTTTCTTTACTTATTTCTTTACTTATTTTGCTCGGAAGTACCAGTCCTGCCAGGAAAGAAAAGGGCATGCTGTGCACGGAACACTTTCACAATCTTCCGAATCAACGAGAAAGTACGGAGTTATGGCTAAAGTCTCCAATACCAATAAGGGCTTCAGTTGCTGAACTGGATGCCTAGAGCAAGCCCCTTTCGGTCGCTCGAGGTCCAATGAGGAGGCCAGGACTAAAGGCCTTTAACGAGGACGAGAGCTAATTCGGAAGGAATTTCCGCACCACATTCGGATCTGGAGAATTACCGATCCAATAAACCAGGTTATCCAGTTCCGGAATCAGCCCAAGCGAATGATCTTCCGATCCGATGATGGAAGTCTTGACATACGGCCTCTTGCGGACTAGGCCCGTCATAGGCAGATCTCCACTGCCCGGGAGAATAATCCGATGTCTTATAGGTGATATATATGTAATGGGGATCTAGGAACTCGTGGAACTACCGTCATTTACTTCTCCTCGTCCACTTCAACGAACTGGGCATTACACTAGAGGAACGAGAAAGCGAATCAAGTGTGTTAAGCAAAGGTCCAGAGGAACTGGGCTAAAGTCTCAAAAAGAAGTTTCGGCAAGCGGTTTATCGAATAATACTATCCGCGGGCTGTGATGAATCTGATCGGTCCTTTAGACGTTGCGGGAGGAACTTTGTTTCCTTAGGTCGGGATCAGAACTCACGAACCGCCCCATCGAGAAAGTAGTTGTTTAAGCCTAAAAGAGCAGCTGCGAAAAGGAACACTACTATAGTATAGCGGATTGTTTCCTACTTCTGCAGGGGATGACGGATAGAAAGAAGACGTCCGGACGATCGAATCCATCTTTTGCGTAGTAGTAGTCGAGGACCTTCCACCGATGCTCTTTCCACCCTTTCGTCGCAGCGCCGCCCAAGAGGCGAGGGACTTTCACACGGTTTATCCGTAACTTGTAAATAAGAATACCTCTTTTCTTTTGAGCCGACGACCATCGGTCCTGTCTCGGTCTTCCTTCTCATATAGCTTAGAAAGTTGCTTCGATCGTTTCGGCGAGGCGTCTACGACTAAATCGATGCTCTCGAAACCCCTCAGTCGGCGGTCGCCTCACATCCACTAGACGGAGTCTAGTGTGGTATTAGTTTCTTTCTTTTGTGCTAGCCAGCAGTACGAAAGCTCGTGGAATATGTGCCTGCCCGAGCCTCACTCGAAATACTCTACTATACAAGACAAGTAAGCTGGTCAAGTCAAAAGAAGGTTCCTGACTATCTAGTAAATGAGTGCACGAAGAAAGGGAATGGCATGTTCACAAACTGGTACTTTTTTCCCGGTAGGTATGTTTTACAATAGGCATGTGCCATGAAGCAAGAAAAGGAACAAGTCAAAGCAGAAAGAAAGCCCACGGAAAGGAGCGGGCACAAGGAAGGGATGGGGAGTTTTTGAAGTTTGAGAGATAGTGAGGAAGAATCCAAGGAACGATCGAATTCAGTGATGGATGGGAATCGTGACACTTCATCGGTACATTCTTATCTACCTCTCCGGAATGAAAACTCTACTGCTAATGGATTTAGAAAAAGTCGAGCGAATAGCTGCCCAATCAAAGTCTTCTCTCTGACTTAATCGGTTGTGAAGGAGGGCAGGTGTGGGGCTTAGTCAGGCGTCCTCGGCTTGATTCATTTCTCGCATGATAGGAGGATCTCGACCAGGAACGGCGATCTCCTCTCTACTTTTTACTTATAACGGAACACAAGAGAAGAAGTAAAGAAAAGTATGAAGTATCACCGTGAGGTAAGCTATGTGGCGTGGGTACATATATATTGATGAACCCCGCTGTCTTTCTTTTTAGCGTTTGACCCCGCTGTCTTAGCGATCTGTGCTTTTGACGATCTGCGTGGAATCCTTTTCTAGCCAGTGGTATGGAATTCTCTAAAGTGTCTATTCCATCTCTCTTTATTCCACACTCTTCCTACAGTCTTTTTCTTCTAGGACTTATTACGCCCTTTTCCACTATTCCATGCATAGGCTGAATAGCGGGGGGTAAAAGCATTATGTTCTACAATTTACCAATACTTTGAGACCTTTCAGGGGCATAGGCTAAACTTACCTCTAGATTTGTTTTACTGGAGTAAATATACGAGTAGGGTTGAGTTTTCATTTCCTAGTCAGCTGAAGCATTAGGTTGTAAAGAAAGCACACCAAAGAAAAGGGCTTAGGGCAGGAAGAATGCTCAGTGCCTACCACCATGGCCTCCATCGGGCATTCTTCTACGTCTTACAATACGTCTTCAAGTATTTTTCTATCATTAATCACATTGGGTTCATGATCCAATTCAATAAGGCATGAAGACAACGGTCTTCGGTTTCGCACGGTTATGGTGCATGTCTTGGCCATCTGGGGCTCACTTAACTCCTTAGCCACCCAGCGAATCTGCTTTGCCGTTTGCAGCTCTGGACAGCTTCTCAAATGTGACATCTGGAACCCTGTTTTTCAATTCCAGCACCTGGTATTTTACCAATTCTGGTTTGAACTCCTTGTACTCTCCCGTGACTTTATTTATGATCAATTGGGAGTCCCCGAAGATACGGAGCCCTCTTATACCCATGTTCAGCGCTCGCTCCAGTGAGTAACTACTAACGTTACGAACAAAGAAGAGCTCCTAAATCAAGTAAGAAATCCAAGTCCACCATGTCCATAAACTTACTAAGTAAAGGCCCCTTCAGATGTAAATCATAAGAAAGCTAATAAACAGTCAGAACATCCATACTAAGGTTAGTGATACCCTCCATCCTTCCTAAAAAAAAGTAAAAGAAAGACTCCTGGCAAAGCTTTCCTCACTCACTGTGCTTAAGAAAAGCAATTCCAGCAGCATATTCTAGACTTTAACTAGAAAGGTAAGTTACTCGACTAAAAGATTAGACACTTTACCACTTTAAGGAGCAGCGATTTGCATCCCAGCATACAAGGCATCAGATGTGGTGGCATTTATCATGTTTACAAACTGCCCTATCTACCGATAAAACAGATGCAAGCGATGAAGCTAATGTAAAGGAAAGAAATTCTCCTAAGTAAGCTCAAATAAGTGATGTGCCGAATTAAATTGCTTATTGAAAGTAGTCATACTAAGTGTCTGTCTTTCGAGTCTAGACTGCTACTTGAAGGTAGGTTATTGTAGAAAAGTCTAGCTGGTGAACTAGCTGTAACGAATGAACAACTAACCGAGTGATAGTATGCTGAATCAACAACTAATTAAAGAAATGAATCCACTACTAAACGAGTAACAACGGAGTCAAAAATAGTAGTTACGAACGATTCTACTACGAATTCCACTTCTAAAGCTACAGAAGTCAAAGAATTGTACACGGATGATGAAGGCCTAGCGCACGGCATAATCTACTGCCTTTTTTGTGGGTAAACCCCCCTTCTATTAATGCTTCTTCAATGCAGGTAAGGCTGAAGGCGATAAAGATAGTAAGAAAACAAAAGCTGTAAGCGAGTTACTACATTCGAAAGAAGCATGTTACAATTCAACAAGAGAAAGTGGAAAGAAAGAAAGCCGCCCTACCAAGTGCTCAAAGGTATGCCGTAAGAAATGAAACAAGCAGACCTTTATGTAAGTCACTATTAATAAAGCATGTTACAATAAGAGAACGAATATGTAACGAGGTAAGCGAGACAGAAAGAAAGCCTACCAAGCGAGCGTAAGCACTAAAATATGACCTAAAGAAATAACTGTTGACTAATCGGCTACTAAAGCAAAAGAAAAAGACTATGAAAACTAGTGTTTCTAATAAATTCGAAAGTAAGAGAAGCCCCCCCTGCTGTAAGTATTGCAGAAACAGGTATTAAATAAAAAGAGCGTAAGAAGCGAGTGAGTCAATCAACAAAGTAAACAACAGCTATAGAAGAAAGAGGAACAACTACGTAGGCATGTTCCGAGTTAGGGGAGTGTATCGTTCCAGCTTTAGTTGATTGCACGCACTTTCCTCCCAGCTTTCTAACGTAGGCATGCATGTCAAGGCCTAGCCGTAGGTAGTTTATCGCATTGCAGTCAAGCTTTAGCGTATGTATTGAAAGTTATGGGCTACAGTGCCTGCCTTATCTCTGTGCAACAGTGCCTTCCTTCGTTCAATGCAGTTCGATTGCCTTCAATGCGGTAGTGAAAGCGATGCGCAACAAACAGTGAATCAATCCGCTTTTGCTTTCCAGCGCTTCTAGTGCAACAACAGTGCGTGCCTTATTTCTAACATCAATTCTAATATTTGACTGGTATGGCCTCAATCATAAAGTAACTCATCGATTAAAGCACTGGGTGTGTGTATACTTTTTTCGGCAAATCTCGTATTAAAGTTATAGACCATGCTACTATGCCTCCCCGGGACAAATTGATATTTTGACGATGAAAGTGAGACGAACCCTGCCATTAAGATCTTACTGGCGGGATCCACCCAGAGACCAGATGATTAAATCTAGTTTATTGTATACCTGGCTCTTCGAAGGCAGCCCCTCTCAACTGAGGTAGTGGAAGGGCCTTTTCTTTATTTTAAAAGTCTTCTTCTGGATCAATGTCAAGCTGAGGACACCTAGTTCATATGAGTCTCTTTCAAGAGTTTTGGTCGATACCGTAGGTAAAACCCCAATACCTGAAAGATATAACAAAGACAGGGGCAAAGACCGAAGGGATATAGCCTGGATGCTCATGTCCTTTCTTACGATATTGTGGAAAAGCGGACCAAAGGACGGGATTTCCACTCAGTGGTTTAGTGGTTGGGGCCATGAAAGGGGCGGGTTTAGCCGCGAAAAGACGTGAAAAAGATGACGCTTTCCCATCGCCAAGCCGTCCAGCAAAAGCACGGGGTTTTCCTTCTTGTGTAGAGGGCTACTAAATAACATCTAAAAGAGGCCATGAGACAAGCGTTGAAATCCGTGGTTTTGGATGTTAAAATGGGGGGTACGGGCCTTCTACGGATGGATGGAGCACCCTTTCACGCCCTTCAGCCCATAAGAACTTCAGGGGAACGGGTTACACCCAAATAAATGCACAGCTTCTGGCTTCTCATTTCAGGTAGGACTCTTCTAAAGCATGGGTTTTAGGCCATTAACCGGGGCTCGTTCCTCGGGTCTGAGGACGGGGGGGATGCTTGCTCTTCTCTCTTTTACACCCTTACGCCATTATCAGCACCCCTTTACGAGCAGGATTAAGGCCCCTGGGAAACGTCCAGTCGGATAGGCCTAGGACTAAAACACCGGCTCAGTAGCGAGAAAAACGACGATAGGAACCTTCTTAGTGTCCTAGCCCAGCCGCTCATAATTACGGGGTCCTTTTCTAAGGATTGGATTTCATCCGGGGAAGGGCCGAAAGCAAGACCTATTCCTTTTATCGGTGCAAGGGGTTTGGGTTCCATGGGGACAGCAAAAGTGGGTAAAGATATTGGATAAGGTCCGAGCTTCCAACCGATATAAATGATAGACTCCCCCTTTCTTTTGGCTCTAAAGCTTTGGTTCGTGGTTTCGGGTCCAATGCCTTACTTAATAGGGATACTATTTGCTGGTTGCGAAGGGGCCTGTATACGTACACAGAAGAAACAATTAGATACAATGGATATTCACTCAAAAGCAAAGCGATGGAGGGCCCAGCTTGGACTAATAGTATTTATCTCTGTAGGGTTGAGCTGGAGTAGGAGGGCTCTAACGAATATCGGGATCCCCTTGGCCCCATCCTGAAAGGTTGCTACTTCAGCAGCAGGAATACAAAGAAGAAGAGTCGGTAGTTATATCCTTGCCCTTCCAAGAGAGGGAACTCGTGTGCAATGATCGAATCAGATGTGTTAAGCATCTCATCTTTTGTTCAGTTTTAGGCCTGCTATTCACTATCCATAGAGCTACTATTCTCTTTCTCTCTAGTAGTCCTGATGGAATTCTTTCTTTTTGACTTATTTGTGTTCGAGGACCTTCCATTCGACCGGGGCGGCCCCGTCTTCCGAGCCCGCGAATGAGCTCTATAAGAATTCAATACTTTTTAGAAAGACTTTTACAAGAATGGGGATCAATCCCTTATTATTAGTTAGGGGTTTACCGGCTCAATTAACAATGAGAAACCGATCTTATCGATTTGCCACGTGTTGGGCCATCGGCTTTGAACGAGGTTGCGCTATAATGCACCCCTTTGAGGCAGGATGCAGACCCAAAGGCGAGGGACTGTGCCCATCTTCTCAGCTCAAACCAACAAGAATGCCGAGGGGATCTGCCCGGCCCGAATTGAGCTCCTAAACCCAAAACTATGGAGAAATCTTTCAACTAACTTATGCCCGAATCTGGCCAGCAGGATCTTTGATCAGCGGATAAATTGAATCAAAATTCCTCAACTTCATACTTATCGGAAATATGAAATATACAAGCTCGAAAGAGAAGTAGATCCAGGATCAGATGCTCAAAAATATGTATTACAAAAAATAATAATAGTTAGGATCTGGGCCTATAATGTATTCCCCGCTACGACGACTCCGATGAGCCTTATTTTTTTTTGTTAAATAAGGATCGGCATCTCAGATCCTGTTTTAGCTAAGACATCTGGAACAAACTACGAACTAGTTTAATCTGATCTTCTATTTGCATTTCTTAGATTCGGAAAGTGTGTAGTGTACCGACACCCTTATTGTAAGGAGCTAACTTCCACTACTCGCTTTTAACGAACCCGGTAAACGAGAACCAATCAATAGAAGCCGATGAGACCGATAAAGGAACTCAAATTCATAGATATAGTGTAAAGATCTGCCCCCAACCCGTCCTCTTAGGATGCTCTTGCACAAACAAACCTTACCAGCAGCAGCATCCCGGGGACATATGAAATCTTTTACTGGTCTGGTAGAACCAAATAACCGGTATAGAGGAATAGATTCTATTAAGGACTAAAACTTGGTAAAACCAACCTTCTTTCCTCTTGCTGCTCTCACCCACCAGTATCAGCAGCCGCCTCTCCAAACTCTCCTGTCTTGCCCTGTCCGATATCCTCTGTTCCTCCCGATCCTCTGTGGCTTTATAAAGATCGACGAAACTACATAAATAAAAAGACAGACAGAAGTCCTCGATCTCGACACTTTGAAACTTACTTACGACAAATAGAGCTAGAGCTCCACCACCAACCTCATACGAATCGAATCCCTCGATCTTTTAACGGAAACATTGGAGAAGACGGAATTACAACTACCAGAAAAACACCTTTACCAGATATAGAAGAGAAGTCCATCTCCATCAAAACTTTAACGATAAAGAATGTACTTGCTGCAAATTGCTTTTGCTGTTTGGGAAAGTGCCCCTCCCCTCTTCTGACAACAACATCAGAGCCAGGAATATCGACTTAGAAGGGGAAATCCTCTGCCCGATAACCGACCCAAACTCGCTTTTCCTGAAGAGGATGAGTAAGAGCTATACGCGCTCTCCTGCGAACATCAGATAGAACTCCACCTCTGACCTGAAAAACTATGGTATGGAGAAATCCTTCATAAATCGACTACAAAGGATGTGCGCAATACTCTTCTTTTAAAGATTGTGTTTGAAACTATTCACATTCATCTCATGAGTGGATATATATATCTTCCCCAAACTTCAATAAAGGCCGATCTTGCACAACAACCCGGGCATCTGAAAAGCTTTGTACTGATTGATCTATTGGCACCACGTTCCTAGAGGAAGAGATTACTTATTATGTACGCGTACGACATTGACAACTAACCTCTTGGCTTGGCAACAAAGACCAGTCCTTTAGGCGCCCGCCTTCAGTATATCGTGGCGTCAAGGTCCTGTTAACATAACTGCCTCAACATCGTCCACTTCCGGGCCCACTTCAACCTTTGCCCTTTTCCGAGTTACTAAACGATCGACCAAACCCTTGCCATATTAAAGAAAGGAGTACTTTATCCAGAAAGCTGATGAAACCTTTTCCCATAAGAGAAATCCTCTAACCTTCCCCTCAAACAAAAAACGATGACTAAATGGCCGGTTACATAGGATGAGACTTCCGAAGCCAGAATGAAACCTTTTACCGGGTCCTACGATAAAGTGCGCCATAGTTTCAAGATTGTGCTGGTAAAGTACCCAGTCCCACTCATATGAGGAGAAGCAGCCAGCCAGTCCTATCGTCCGGTTCAAGCTCTATGCTTTACCGCCTCCAACCTCTGCCTCTGGACTTGTCCTCTTCTACACAACTTTCTACTTTGCTGATCCTCTCTCCCTCAGGTCGAGCTACCACCTTCCTTTCCTTCACTTCGTTCGTTGGGATATCTTTTCATTGCTAAGACCGCCTCATTTACGTCATTTCATAAAAGCATAAGAAAGGCCTTATAGAGGAGTGCTAGCCCGCCCAGCCAGGACCAAGCGCCCAATTCCACTTTTTACAGCTATATGAGATGAAAAAAGTAGAATGGAAATTCTCGTCTACGAGGGAAAAGTGACTTGATGCATTTTGCAGCTATATGAGATGCAACTTTTTCCATTTCTCAGATAGCCTAGGAGTGAAATTGAGCTAATGAGATTTTGCAGCTATATGAGATGAAAAAAGAGAAGAAGAATTCGTATACTTCACTTCGCTGCCCCTGTGCTCGTACCTGTGAACGCTGGGCCTTGACCTGATGCCTTAGCCATTTTAGGCTATACTTGGCAAGAGACGAGTGCCCATAAATCTATATTTTCATTTTCATCCGTCCACTTCATCGAAACTTTCACCGCTGGGTTCTTCTTTACCGGTCCTTTACGCATAGGTATTCGCAGGAGCAAAGGGTTAGTAATCAATTCATTCAGGCAACTGCTCAGATTTAGTTCGTGGTCCGTACGAGTAAAGGCTGTTTGAGGAAAGCAGCTCGCGGTTTGAAAGCTCAAGCGACAGGGAAAGCGAAGGCATAGAAGGTAGACACCAACTTACGAGGAACTGAAAGTGACCGTAACGATAGATGTACTTCATGATGCATCGGGAAAGGTTAAAATCACCCCCTCTTGCTAAAGCGCGAGGTATTTCATTCCAGAGGCCTAATTCGAAGGGTTGTTGCCCTGTTCTGTTAAACTCGATTTTGGGGAATACCCTTGAACTGTTCAAGAGCTCTACCTTAGTCCGAGGGGTTGGGGTTTAGTACGATTGAAAGGAAACTCGAATGCCGTAGACGTTATGAAATATCTCCCATCAGGGTCGGAAAGCGGCTCAAGAGGATGAGGATGAGGATGCCTCTTCTCTTTCCTTTCAGTCGAGACCGTCGGACCTTTCTCGAACATTATAGCAAGCACCCCAATAATCACAAAGCGAGAGGAGATACCTCGACGATAGTCGACTAATGCGGTTAGGCCTTCGTAAGATGTAGCTCGTGTTCCGCCCGGGCGAGTAAAGGGTCTGGAAACCCTCGAATGAATCACCTTAGGAAAGGAATCCTCGACCGCAGGTGGCTAAGCCGATAAAACGTAATCATTCAAATACACTTTTCGCTGAGCAAGATAAAGTGAGTGTTCCTTGAGTGTGAGTTAAGGCTGTGTGGAGTAAAGCGGCTCAAAACGGAGGATTAAGGAATGCCCAAGTTCGTCCCCAGGGTTTATCAAACCTGCTCTCCTCCTTAGCCTTGATTTGTTACCTAGGATTTAGCTTCCAAAAAGCCTTTAAGGAACCGTACCTTAGAGACGGGCACGCAGCTAATTATGAGCAGCACGGGCTGTGAACGAGACTCCATCCGATGATCCGTTTATTGTTTATTCCTTTACTCCATCCGCTTCTTTTGCTTCCATCGCACCCTCCTAGCACTGTATCGCTACATCTTCACAATCCGGATGAAGAGGAGGCGAAGAATGTTGAGAAAGCGTAAGAGAAAGAGTGGAATAACAGTACGCGTAGTTCGTTCTAACCCGAGAGCTCATCATCATCTAGATACGTTTTCTCGGGAATTTTCGTTGCAAAAGAATAGAAGAGAACTTCTTAGGTAATAAAGAAGAAGAAGTGAAAGTACAGATGAGAATCAATCAGATGCCCTTTTTCAGCTCATTATCTTAGTTCGGGATACCTGATGGCTAAACCCTTGTGGACTTAGGTAAATCAATTTTTCCTTAAATAAACTAAGCTTTAAAGTAAGATTACACTTAAAGACTAATTAAGGCAAGCAACTCTTCTTGATGCAGATTTTTTGTTCCTGACACAAGGTGTTCTACCACGGGGTTTTGTACATAATGATGCCATAACCTTTCTGTCTTGGGGTGATCTAAAAAGTAAGCCACCTTCCCCTGCGGAGGCTGAGCTTTTTGGTCGGCTAAGCTTACTAATAGTGGTTCCGACCGGTGAGAGGTAGGGCTTGCAAGGTTGGGAGTCCTTTCAACTAAAGGAATTACGTATGTGAACACGAGTCTTGATTCAGCCTTATACGAAAAGGGCTATTATCCCAGGTTAGTCCCCTAAGTCTGCTCCGGAGAACCTATCCGATAGAAAAGACGCATTCCCATCTGAACCAAGAGATTCCTTTTCTCCCGGTCCCGAAAGCACATTTTCCGAAGCCAGCCGAAGACAGAGAAAGAGATAGCGATACTCCATCGGCTGCCGAATCAAATAATAAGGAATATTGAACAGAAGGACCCCAATCCCCATACGAATCGGCAGACGCCTACCCGAGGGATCCCCTTTTTCTCGAACCAAAAGCTCCAGTTTCTACCGCTCTTTCTCACGAATCTTAAGCCAATAGGGCTTTGGCTTGGCTCGGTTAACATTCAAAACTAGGCCCTATAAATCAGTCTAATGGGAAAAGAGGGCTAAGCTCACAGCTCGCCTATCGGTTACCTCGGGCAATCTTTCCACCTTGGTCAAGTTGATCGCGCTAGCCAGCTTGCATTAGATTCGGCAATAGAACTAGTCTGAGTTAAGAGCTAAAACTTCCTCTTATAGTCTTATTATTCCACTATTCCCATGCAATCAATCAGTCTACGGCGGTCTTTACAGGAGATGGAATGAACTCTCAGAGAGGAGGCTAGGCAAACTGAACCACTAGTAAGTCACGAACTCACTAAAGAGATAAAGACTCTTTCCTGCATACAACCGATCTGCGACTAGTCATTCAGATGCACAGCTGATGTGAGACATCCTACTCTTCTTAACAGCGTATATGCGAACAGCCGATATGCGACACCTTTGAGTTGTCGTAATCCCTTTCCCCTTCCCTAAAACCGGTTATCCTTACTTGAAAGAGTACTTCACTAGGTGAAAGAATCCTGTTTTCACACCTAGCTATTTGAAGTACGTATGCAAACAAGGAACTCCCTTAATACGATACGGAATTGCATTGGTCTAGAATGCTGTTATCAAAGATATTGCAGGATATCAAACCGAAGGTAATGAAATTCTCAGCATGAAACAAACTATCAACCAGCGCAAAAGACAGTAAAGAAGCTCAGCTGTCAGAGTGGATCCTATCCCGTATTTACCAGCTTTAGAGAGCCGAGACTTTAGGAAAGGGTAGCTTACCCTATGAAAGAGTAAATGAGCCTTATAACTAAGAAAGAATGGCAAGAATCAAGAGCATATCAGAGGTAAAGGCCAGGCTAGCTCATTTGGAAGCCTTATTTCTTTTCTCGGATTTCCTTCTGGACGGGAATAGTCACTAAAGCCATACCCTCAAGCGTATCTGGATTGACAAAGGATTACCTAGGAAGTGCGTCAGCTTGCTTGCTCGATAATCATTGGATGAATAATGAAAGTAGTTACTTGTACATAGAGGAATGAGATATGATTGATTAAGACAGAGTTAATAGCTAGCAATAAGATCGAGCCTAACTCACAAACGAGATAGACGCCTACATAACCTAAATAAATAATGACTTTTGGTATCAGACCTAAATGTAGTTCTAAAGGGACAGAGCTTTGAAAGTTCCCGTCTTTCCATTCCTCTTCATCATCAGAAGGTCGATTAGCACATATCAAAAGCCAGCCTCAGAAGCTAGCGAAAGCAAGCTAGCCAGGGAAGTGGGGTTAGCGTTAGCACGGTAGCGGTATATTAGGATTCTGGCAGTCGGTAAAGAATGGAAAATCTGTTAGGTTCTTAGTCCTGAGTAGTATTACCAGAAGAGGCCCACTTGAGGAGGCTTTTATGGAGTCCAAGTCTTGTACTGCTACCTAGACCTAGAAAGAAAGTTGTATTTCTCATTCACAAATCAAATAGTCTAAACGATCTCGCAGGATTGACCAACCCAGTATGGTATGGGAAACCCAACCCTGTATCGGAAAAAACCAACCCGTTTAAAGTGCAAAACCACTATCTTATCTCCTACAGCTGTGTCGGAAACCGGAAAAAAAAGTCTCGGTAGAAAGCCGGAATTAGTTATCCCGGGAATGAACCCTTAGCTATGCTATAAAGTAGTCTGTGACTGTATATAGTTTTAAAAACCTATCTTAACTCGCAGATCCTTACTAGAAATGTATTGGGTAATGGGTAAATGGACTTCACTTCCAGATAGGGAAATCAATAAAAGCTTCCAACGAGGGCATGTCAAATCGTCGTTAGCTCTAATCCAATGCCGTACACGGAACACTTTCCTCATCTGGAAAAGAAGAATTGAAGTACGTGATGAAACTAGTTATCCAGTTGATGAAGAAGCTCCAGGCAAGAAAGGATCTGACCATCTTCTTTAGTACGGATCAATTGGGCAAGGCCCTGGTGGAGGGAAATACGCTTCTCCTTGTGAGAAAAGCCATAGGTAATACATAAATATTATCTGTCCAGAATTCTGAAGGTCTGGGCTCCCCAGAAAGCTAAGACTTGTGGAAAGGATCTGATCCTTCCCCTGCTCTTGACCAAAGTTATCCTTCAGATAATAACAAGGGAGATTTTGTGCCAAATAAGGCGCCTAGAATCCATTTATTTTAGGATGAATGCGAGCACCTCCTTGCGTGCGTTCTGCGATTTGAGAAACTTTCTCTTTTGAGCTCGGCTGTGAGAAGTGGATTGGTAGATCCCTTATTCGAATGATCGGATCAAGGCTCGGAACATCATCACTTTCTTACGTCGCCTCTTGAGGCGGTATATCTCCAAATAGAAAATAGAAGTACAGATTCAACTACCACCTATCCTGTTGTTACAGATGCCAAAGCGAAGACAGGAGCAGATCTACCCTTCTTCTTTAATACTGTACAGATCTGACAGCCGAAGCACCTATTCATAGGGGAGGGGTGTACTTGGATACCTCTGATCCTTTATAGAATACTTTTCTATATTACAGTAAGAATTCGTCCACTACTCTGTCCAAATGTACTAAAGGAGAGACTTTACTTGGGTCTGGATCATCAGAAGAAGGGAAAGGGCCTTTAGTCAGAGGACGAGGGCGTGGACTTCGGATAGTCTTGCTGAAGCGCATAACCACTTTTGTGATCTCCTAATTCTTGGAGACCAACTACATTGAAAGTGGGTGACAGATGTTAGGAAGCTGACTTAGCTCTGACAGGCTTCGAACTACAGCTCTCACTTTAGAGAGAGCAAGACAAACATCCTACTTATCGTGTACTTCTACCTTTGATCCAAGTCGTAGGTAATAGTTATTATCACTCTGCAGCTCCAAGGCTCAGATATATTGGCAAAAGGGATTGACTTCCTGCCGGGCGAGGAAAGTGCGTACTGCAGGGCTAGCCCCTAAATGTTAGATCTGGTCTTCCACCGCTTACCCGAAGGCCTGGTAGTCCTGGTTATCGTTCTCTGACCATGGGCAAGATCCGCCCAAAGGTAAGATCTTTCGAGTTATGAGTTGCAAGTTGCTGCGTCGTTATCATCATCACCAACAACAATCAAACAACAAGGGAGGTACCCCCCCATCCTCCCATGGCTAATTCCCTTGAGCCCCATTGTTGCTAAACGCCCGAAGGCAGAGCCTGGCTCTGACTGGCGACTGAAGCCAAACGGAAGAAGAGAGTTCCTAAGGCAAGGAGTAACTGAAGGAGAAAGGTGCGCGGGAACTTCAATCTTCACTGAGTATGGGGTTCAAGGGCCTTGCCACCGAACGAACGAAAGAAGTGTGAAAATCCTAAATCCGAAGACGGTGTGTACGGAGCTGACGGTTCTGACGGAGAAGACTAAGTGCGGGGTGTGGAATACCTTGGAATGCTGCTTCTTATGATAAGGATCTTTTCTTACTTATGTGATTTGATTTCACTTTAGATCTCTCCGTTCGCTTCTCCCTTTCTTTCGCATGCTCTTCGATCTGGTCACCTGACCATTGGAAAGGGTGGTCTAATCATCCTTTTATCGAACGTTCCTGGACATTCATTCAAATCTGGCACAAAGCACTCATACGCGTGTTTGCGGTGAATTCCCTTCATAAATCGATCCAGAGGGTTACGAGATCCGGTTTGACGACATAAACTCACGAAATCCCTTGGGATGGATACATTTGAGCGTGATTTAAGCGGGGAGGCGTACTGCACTGTGCTCTTCCTACATGGGCGGAAAACAGGCGAAGTTGAATGTGGGTTTGCGACATGAACTTCCGACTGTCCGAGGTACTTCCAGTGATGCCATTTCCCCTGCTTACACAATTTCCCCTTCATCTCATGAATGGGATCAGAACGTGCCGTATTCGTTGGACATGACACAGGCGTCCAAAAGTACCTACTAATTACGCGTTAAAAGCTTTCTCTCTCTTTGTTACACTCCCTTTCTCGTGCTGCTGTTGCTCGTGCTCCTTCCCATTGGTATTGTCAAGGCAGCTGCGAGCAAGCTACAGCGCGTGCGATACACGCCATAACCTCAAATGAACTTGCACTCCATTGATCAGATGAAAAAAGCTTCTAAAGATTACTATTCCTTTTCTTCACTTCGCTTCGTTCGTTGGATCAACAAGTCGCCATCCTGGAATTGACTCAGCAATTGAACACAATTCCCTCTTCATCGCAATCGCTCAAAACCTTGTATCGATGGAGTGACATCTTTCTCCCTTCCAAAAAAGGGTTCAAAACCCCGTCTTTTTCGCGTACTTTCTTTGACACTTCTTTTCCATTTTCTGTCTGGTCTTGTCCTCCTCCTTCCTCCGTTTCTTTTGCTGCAAC